TCAGGTAGTAGCGGCAGCTGTCTATAAGCCCAGCATTTGGGAGGCAGAGACGGGATTCCTGTGGCAAGCTGGATAGCCAGACTCTTTGGAATTGGCAAGCTATGGGTTCAGTGAGAGACCCTGCCTCAATAAATAAGGTGGAGAATGACTGAGAAAAGTACCTGATATCAACTTCAGGCCTTCACATGTATGCACACATGTGTGTGTCCACATACATATGAGCACATATACACACAGGCACACATATTCACATGCAAAAAACATGTGAAGGGTGTGTATACTTGCATTCAGTGTAAAATTCTTTCAGCTGTTCTGTGACTTTGAAATTCTCCATCATAAAATGTTGTGGGGGGTGAGGTACTAGTTATTTTTTCTCATCGTGGTGACATAGTATATGTCATAAAGAGCTTAGTGGAGAGGCTAGAGAAATGGCTCAGTGGTTAAGGGCACTGGCTGCTTTTGCAGTGGACCTGGGTTCAGTTCCCAGTACCCATATGGCAGCTAACACACACCTGCAACTTGAGTTCCAGGGGATATGGCACCCTCTTCTGGCCTCTGAGAGCATTGCACACATAGTGCACTTACATGTAGACAAAACACTCCCCTCCCTCTCTCTATATATAAAAGTTAAGGGGAGAAAGATTTCTTCTGGCTCACTGATTCAGAAGTGTTGGTCCATTATGGTGGGGAGGATGTGGTACAGTAGAGCTGTTCAAGATATGATACCTAGGAAGCAGAAAAAAGAAAGGGGTCAGGGTAACATATAGCCCCAAGAACATGACCCTCCCCCAATGACCTACTTCCTCCAAAGTCCTTCTGTTTTCACGGTATCCTAATAATGACATCCTATTATGAATTCATTTAGGGATTAATGCATTAATTAGGTCAGAACCCCTAGGTTCTAGGTGTGAAACACCCTTTTAGACATACCCAGAGGTGGCCTTTATTGACATTACATACTTCAGTCAAGTTGGCAATCAAAACAAACCCATCATCACAGCTCTGGGGGGATGCCTCAGTTCATAAAGTGCTTGCTGTTCAAACACGAGGACCTGAGTTTGATCCTCCAGAGCCCACATTAGAAAAAAAAAAAAAGAAGAAAAACAGGGCACTGTGGCATGTGCATATATAATGCAATTGCTGAAGGGTCAGAGATCGGTGGATCTTTGGAGTATGGTGGGCAGCCACTCTAGCCAAATTGTGAGCTGGAGGTTCAGAAAAGATTTTTTTTTAAAAAAAAAAATAAGGTGGGGGCTGGAGAGCTGGATCAGTGGTTAAGAGCACTGGATGCTCTTGCAGGGGGCTTGGGTTCAGTTCCCAGCACCCACATGGAGGCTAACAACTGTCTGTGACTTCCATTCCAGGGGATCTGACGCCTTCATTTGGCCCCCTCATGCATACATGTATATACTTACATACATGCAGGCAAAACACTCATACACATAAAATTTTAAAAAATTAAAAATAAGGTGGAGGTCGGGCGTGATGGCGCACACCTTTAATCTCAGCACTGGGAGGCAGAGGCAGGCGGGTCTCTGTGAGTTCAAGGCAAGCCTGGTCTACATAGTGAGTTCCAGGACAGCTGAGGCTACAGGGAGACCCTGTCTCAAAAAGACCAAAAAAAAAAAAAAAAAAAAGGGGGAGAGGAGAGGGGGAGAGATGGCTCAGCGGTTGAGAACACTGGCTGTTCTTGCAAAAGACCCAGGTTCAAATATCAGCACCCACACGGCAGCTAACAACTGTCTGTAACTCCAGTTCCAGGGGATCTGACAGCCTCTTCTGTCCTCCGAGGGCTTTGCATGACATGGGTGCACTTACCTACACGCAAGCTATGCATGCATATGTGAACTGGAGTTATGGACAGTTGTTAGCTGCTATATGGGTGCTGGGATTCGAACCTGGGTCTTCTGAAAGAACAGTGTTCTTAATCACTGAGCCATCTCTCCAGCCCCCAAAAATAATAAATAAATTTATTATTATTTTTTTATGTGTATGCGTGTATTGCCTGCATGTAGGTAAGTGCATGCCTATCATGCAGTGCCTGTGGAGGACAGAAGAGTCTGTCAGACCCCCTGGAACTAGAGTTACAGACAGTCACTAGCTGCCATGCGGGCACTGGGATTCGAACCTGGGTCTTCTGCAAGAACAGTCAGTGTTCTTAACCGCTGAGCCATCTCTCCAGCCCTGATAAATAAAATATTTTTAAAGAATTAAAAATAAGGTGGAGAGCGAGGAGAAAGACACCCAGTGACAACCTCTGTCTTCTACACATGCACATGTTTACATGTACACATGTGCACACATTTAAACACACACGTAGACACACAAAACAAAAGTTAAACTGTCACAAGGTTATAATGCAAATTACTGCCCACGGCCCCTACACAATGCGTGACCTGCCAGCCTTCCCCCGTCTCCTTGTTCTCTCTTTCTTGCTCTGTCTACCTCTGTGGGCATCCTTATTGACCCTCCAACACCTTGACCTCTGTCCTGACTCAGGGCCTTTGTACCTGCTACTGTTCTTCTGGAAAGCTCCCCTTTCTGCCTGCTTCTACTTCTGGACAAACTTCATCTTGGATCTAAGCTCAGATGGTGCTTCCTCAGAGAGACCCTCCCTGATCACCACATTGAAAAATCACACCACCTTGTATGTTTTCCTCTAGTCCCCATCATACTCCAGTGTTTGTGAATCTATTTGCTCACCTGTTGGACACCTTCTTTTCAACTGTGAGTTCCACAGGGTGAGGAATATGTCTGCTGTGTTCATCTGATATGTCCCTAACACCAAGACCCAACCTAGCATGTCCAGTACAAGCCAACCCAAGGCCATTTGTTTCCTGAATGAATGAATGGAGGAATGATGGGTGGAAACTATCTGAATGGAAATGACAGATAAATAATGAATAAGTGGATGGATGGCTAGTTGGGTGGATATTTGGGTAGATAGATGGATGGATGGAAAGATGGGTGGAAGGGTGGATAGGTAGATGCATGGGTGGATGGGTTGATGTATGGGTGGGTGAATGAGTGTATAATTGTGTTCATGTGTGGGTAGATGGATGGAGACATGGGTAGATAGGTGAGTGAATGTGTATATGGGTGGATGGCTAGATGAAAGGGTGGATGGGTAGACTGGGGAATGTCAAGCTCTAGGTTTCAAATATATGTGTGGGTGGGTGGGTGTATAATTGGATGTATGAGTGTGCATGTATGTATGGGTGGATGGGGAATTAGGTGGATAGGGAGATAGGTGGATGGATGAGTGGATAGAGGGGAGATGAGTAGATGGATGAATGGATGGGTGGGTATGTGGATGGGTAGATGCACAGTTGATGGGTAGATGTATGTATATATGAACATATGGATGGATGGGTGGATAAGTGTATGAATTGTAGATGTGGAGACCGGGAATGGGTAGATGGGTAGATAGATGGACAGATGGGTGGATAGGTATATATGTATGTATATATATATATATGTGTGTGTGTGTTATATATATATATATATATATATATGGTTGAATGTGTAGATGGATAGAAGGATGGATGGGAGAATGAGTAGATATGTTGCTAAAATTCTTTCTGGGAGGTACAAACACCATCTGGCCCCCTCCTCCCATTGTCCTTACGACAAACTAAGATACAGATTCTTCAAGTTATAGCTTGGAAAATCTTAGCAAGTTTATTAGGCTTACTAACAGAGCAGTGGGTGAGGGGTTACTTAAAGAAGAGTAGCCTCCTCCTCCCCCATTTAAGGCCAAGCTGGAAAGTCCACACCCAAGCATGGATCCTGTGTCCTGGCAGATGCACAGAATGTTGAGAGCACACCTTATGGCATTTTTCAGTTATATATCCTTAGTCCCTCCCCCTCATGCAGCTAGGACCAATGGATGGGGTGAGAGGGTGACTGACTTTCCCGACCACTCCTTTCTTATGGAGCATCAACAGTCAGGTTTGTTCATGGTGATCCTAAGCAACCAAGATTGACATTTGGAGGATGGTTTTATGCTACATTATGTATGTGGGTGGATGGATGTGTGTGTATGAGTGTGTGTGTGTGTGTGTGTGTGTGTGTGTGTGGTTGGTGGGTAGATGGACCAATGAATAGTTAGATCAGTGACTGAACATATAGTCTCCAATTGTGAACTAGTACCATCTCAATATTGAGTACCTACCATAAGATTCTAGAAAGACATGAGTTGCTTGGGTTCCTCAAATAGACTGGGTCTTTGGACTGCTCTCTAGTCTATTGTTGGTGGAAAGATGACCCACCCACCTTGATCACTGCTCCATTGTCCAGCAAGCTTGGACATATAATAAGGCTCTTAGGTTACAGCCTAGCCTCTGGGTTAGTGTGTGACCCAGCCTCTTTTCATTGTCAAACAGGAAGGAACTAACTGTAGATTTCCCACAATTCTTTATTTTCTTGTTTTTTTTGAGAAAGAATTTCCCCTTGTAGCCTAGGTTGCTTTGAACTTGCTGTATACTTAAGGATGACCTTGAATTTTGAATCTTCCTTCCCCTGCCCCTTCATATCCTGCCTCCCCCAGTCCTAGTTTGATAGGTGTGCCATGCCCCACCATGCCTAGCTTGTCTCTGCTCTTACTAAAGGTCTAAGCTATGTGCTTCAGGTATCGTACAAGGCTGGGCTGAGACCTGAACTTTATGAATGAATTTGAAGTTCAAAGAGGTTAAACTATTTGCCTTAAGACCTACAGCTCACCTCTGCCCTTAAAACTGGCCATAGTAAACTCTTTGCCAGGCAGTGAGGGATAAAGTGGGATAGTAACCAAGGCACTGCCCTCCTAAAACCCAAGAGCAGCTCAAGTGACCTGGGAGGTTGTGTCCAAGCTCCTATCTTCAAGCCCAACGTGCAGTAACCCTATAGAACAGCTGGAGGGTGGTATGTGGGGTCAGAGTTTTGTGGCTTTGGAGACTCTGCCCCACCCACTACACACATTCTACATCTTGAGCTGCACTCATCTAAATGTGTGTCCACAGCATGTTTTCCAGCTTGAATGAATGGCTGTGGCAGGAGGAGTTATGGTTACCACCCAACAGTACTTGGGCACAGCTGGAGGACCGAGATGGCTTGGTGTTTGCCCACCCTCACCACATGCTTGCTGCCCTACCACTGGCGCTGGTCCTGGTGGCTTTGCGCATGGTCTTCGACAGGTGAGTGACATTCTTTAGCTGGTGGAGCCCTGTGTGTGTGTGTGTGTATGTGTATGTGTGTGTGTGTGTGTGTGCATGTGTGTATGTACTTGCCTGCACTGTGGGTGTTTCCCATTTTTACAAGTTTAGTGAGGTACCTGACTTTGCACTAAGCCCCTTTTGTTTGTTTTGTAAAAAGCATTTTATTATTATTTTTTAATGTGTTTAAGTGTTTTGCCTACATGTATGTAAGTGCACCATTTGTGTGCAGTGTCCACAGAGGCCAGAATAGGCATCAGATCCCCTGGAACTGAACTTATATATGGTCATGAGCTGCCATGTGGGTGCTGAGAATCAAACTCAGGCCCTCTGGAAGAACAGCAAGTACCCTTAACTGCTAAGCCATCTCTCCAGCCCTCCCCCTTTTTAAAAGATTTATTTTTATCCAAATGTATGTGTTTATATATATTCCACTTGTATGAAGGTGCCTGAGGCAGCTAGAAGGCCTTGGATCCCCTGGAGCTGCAGTTGCAGGTGGTTATGAGCTCTTCAGTATGGGTGCTGGGATCCAAACTTTGTTCCTCTGGAAGAGCAGCAAGCACTCTTAACCACTGAGCCATCTCTCCAGCCCCTTGAACATCTTGTTCTGCCTCCACCCCTCAAGTGTTGGGATTACAGCTATGTGCCACCACTTCTGATTTATGTGGTGCTGGGGGTGGAACCCAGGGCTCTGCACATCCTAGGCAAACTTTACCAACTGAGGCATATCCCCAGACCTCTTGATTCTTTTAAGTCTGGTTCCGAGGACTCCTGCTTGTTCCTCTTTTAGGATAGAGCCCTTAGTTCACCTCAGGAGGATCACTTCTTTAGGACCCTTCCTTTGTCCTAGCTGTAACCATAAGAGCACGTTGGTTTGTGGTTCCCACTTATCAAGGGATTTCTGAACTCTGGGCTCTCTGAACAGAGGCAGGGCATGAGGGTCCCAAGGAAGTTATAGTTACCTCATAGATTTACTCATTTATTTTATGTGTATGAGTATTATGCCTTCATGCATGTAAGTGCACCCATGTTGTGTAGTGCCCACGGAGGAGGGCAGAGGCCACTGGATCCTCTGGAACTGGAGTTATAGATGGTTATTAGCTGCCATGTGGTGCTGGGATTTAAACCTGGGTCTTCTGCAAGAACAGCCAGTGTTCTTAACTGCTAAGTCATCTCTCCAGCCCTTCTTTTTTTTAAAGTGTGTATTTATGTGTGCATGTGGTATATGTGTGTCATGTATGTGTATGTATGGTATATTTATGTGTACGTGTGTGTAAAGCCAGAGGAGGTTAGCAAATATATGTCCTGTTCTATCACTCTTCACCTTATTCCCGTAAGCTGGGATCTCTCCCTTGAGCCTGGAGCTAGGCTGGCAGCCAGTGAGCCCCAGTGATCCTCCTGTCTCCTTGCCCACCATCATGGGGTGGGGTTACAGGCAGGCAGGTATGAGTCCATACCCAGATTTTTGCATGGGTGATGGGGATTCAAATTTATGCATGTGTAGTAAACACTTACTCACTGAACTATCTTCCCAACCTCCTCATAGGCTTCTTTTTGAAGTTTCCTCCCTGATGTACAGGGCTCATAGTCTGTGTGTCTTAATTCACTTGATCCTTGATGTCAATGTATGAGATGGTACTATTATTACTCCCGTTTTATAGAAGAAGAAATAGAGGCACAGAGAGGTTTAGTCACCTACCCAAGGACTGAAGCTTTGCTTGAGGAATTCTGAGAAGCTCAGTTCAAACAGGCCTTGAAGGAAGGGGTTGCTGCCTCCCACAGGAGTTGGGGAAAGTAAGGATGGGATTGTAGGGGAACACTGTGCCCAAGTCAATCACTGGCACCCTGGAGGGATATGTTCCTACATTTAAATGGGGAGTTTAAGCTGGATGTTGTAGTGCTTGCTTATAATTGCAGTACTTAGATGCTTAAATTCAGTCCCTATCTGTGGCCTTGGGGAGCCCCCTTGTGGGCAGTGTAGGTACTAGGTGGCCAAGGCTCTTCTAAGGAGTAGGACCCCTGCTTAACAGGTGGGAGGCCCTGCTCCTACTTTGAGGAACCTTGTGCAGGGGTACCAAGACCCAGGTCACTGTAAGACAGAGTCTCACTCCTGACTAAGGATGGGTGAAGGAACCTGGGACCTCTATGGGTTGGTCTGAACCTCTGTACCCTGAAGACTAGGCTAGCTTCTTTTAGGATCCAATAGCCAGGCAACCACCTGGGGGGTGGGGAAGGGTGGAGGGAGAGGGTTTAAGGGTGGGGTTAGGGAGGCTCCAGAAAATGAAGCTAGGTGCAGCAGTAGAAAATTCTGTGTCCTTTGCCCTTCTCCATGGTCCTTTTGGCTCTGGCTCTCCAACGCCTCTACCTAGAGATGAAACTTTGGTGCTCACGGGGCTTGTCAGAGCACTGGGTTCCTCTGCTTCTCTCCCCTACAGTCACATCTATTCTCATTTGGGTTCTGCCAGCTTCTGTCTTCCCTATCCCCCAGATTTGTGGCCCTGCCCTTGAGTCGGTGGATGGGTGTGCGGGATCCAGTCAGGAGGCAGATGCAACCTAACCCTGTGCTGGAGAAACATTTCCTTCAGACTGGGCGGAGACCCAAGGAGGTAAGCCCCGACATCCTGGTGGACAGCGTGGTAGTCCTGGGACCCAGCATGGAGGTGATATGTGGCCCTCTTGTTAGAGGCCAGGAAGGTAAAGTGGATTCTGGTTTACACACAAGTGTTCCCACCTCTTCCAGAGACATGAAGGCCCCACCCTTCTCAGGTTCCCTGGGTTTGAGACTCTGCCCCTCCCTGCCATGCAAGTACTTGAGGCCTTGCCCATTAAAGCCTTCTGGGGATAAGGCCCTGGCCCTCAGGCTTCCTAGGACATGAAGCCCTGCCCTTCTCAGGCTTCCTGGGATGTGAAGCTCCACCACCCTCAGGCTTCCTCAGACATGAAGCCCCTCATCTCTTAGTCCTGGACATCAGCCTCACAGCCACCCAATAGGCAGAGTCTGGGACCCCAGTGAGAGGAGCAGTTTTCTCCCCTGTTTTGGGGAAGGTGGCTAGAGTACCAGAAGTAGCCCTGTGGCCCTCCCTCCATTCCCATCCTTGGTGTGGCTGTCCAATGGCCTGGTTGGTAAGGTAAGGTGGGAGTGAAGACTGTGGACCCTGGCTGGGGATAGTAGCTGCCTCCCTGCCTCATTTTTTGTTTTCCTGGTGCTGGGGACTGAACCCAGGACTTTGTGCATGCTAGGCAAGAGCCACTGAGCAATATTCCCCTGGTCTCATTCTTGACCACTGACCTGTGTGCTTTATTAGCAGGGCTTGGTCCCCATAGGCCCAGTGCTCTGAAGGGCTCCCCACCCATGCTCCTCTTGCTCCATAGTGGACATGGCTACCCCATGGGAAAAGATCTGAGGCCACAAGGGACAGGGAAACAAAGCCCAGAGTTTCCAGGGACAAGGGTAAGAAGCAAGCATGGGGTCTGTATGACCCTTATCATTCTATCTCCCCCTTCCCAGACCCAGATGGCCCTTCTGTCCACCCAGTGTGGTCTTACACTGAGACAGACTCAACGCTGGTTCCGGAGACGTCGGAACCAGGATCGGCCTTGCCTGTCCAAGAAGTTCTGTGAGTCCAGGTAATCCTGAAGGGTAGATAGCAAAGGAGATGATACTCCACTCCTCCTAGCCTGCCTGAATGATGAGACCCTGTCCCTCCTAGTCTCCTCAGTATTTGAGGCCCTGCCCCTCCCAACCTCCATGGGATGTGAAGCCCCATCCCTCCCTGACAGATGAGGCCTCGCCCATGGAGCCAGGACCCTCTACTTTTGACAGCAGCCTCACTGGCTTCTTCTTCCTCTGCAGCTGGAGGTTTGTCTTCTACCTGTGTTCCTTTGTGGGTGGCATCTCTGTTCTCTACCATGTAAGTAAACCTCGATGGTTCACCCTGTCCTAGGAGCATCTGCAGGTTTCTACTGAAGATGAACTGTGTGTCTGGAGCTGACACAGGGGAGTGGGAGGCAGAGATGGAGTGAAGGGGTAGAGAGCAGGGCTGAGTCAGGCATAGTAGCTTTCACTTGCAAGGCCTACTGTCTTACTGTCTTTTTTGGTTGCTGTGATAAGATGCTCTGACAAAAGGAACTCAAGGGAGAAGGGATGTATTTCATTAAAAAATTTTAAAAATATATTTTATTTATTATTTTTATTTTATGTGTCTGAGTATATTGCCTGTTTGTATGTAAGTGCACCCGTGGCATGCAATGCCCATGGAGGTGAGAAGATGGCATCGGATCCCCTGGACCTGGAGTTACAGATGGTTGTTAGTTGCCATGTGGGTGCTGGGAACTGAACCTGGGTCCTCTGCAAGAGCCACCAGTGCTCCTAACTGTTGAGCTAGCTCTCCAGCCCCAGAAAGTACACAGTTCCAGGTTGCAGTCCTTCAGGACAGAGAAGTTACAGCAGCAAAAGCCTGAGGGAACTGGTCACATCTGTAGAAAGGAAGAGAGAGCAATAAATGTGTGCATGCCAGTGCTCAGCTCGTGAGGTCCCAGCCCATGAAATGGCCCCATCCCATGAAATGGTGCCACCTATTTGGGTGGGTCATCCCACCTCAGTTAACACAATTATGAAAAAACCTTGTCAGGCCTGTCCCACAGGCCAACCTAATCTAAACAATCCCTTGCTGAGATGCCTTCCCAGGTGATTCTTGATTGTTTCAAGTTCTCAGTTAAAATCAGCCATCACACCCACACTCAGGAGTTGGAGGCAGAAGGATTGTGAGTTTGAGGCCACCCTGGGCTACATAGTGAGACTCCCTCTCCCTTGAAAAAGAAAAGAGTAGGGTGGAGCGAAAGCAAAACCCAGAGGCCTGCGGAAGCCCTAGTAATGGGGGGACCAGACCCAGGGTAAGGGGCTGGCTTTTGACTTCGGAGAGCTTGAGATACCTTGTTCCTTCATAGGAGCCATGGCTGTGGACGCTGTCGTTGTGCTGGGAAAATTATCCAGAGCAGGTGAGTGGCAGGGGATGTGAGGAGGCTCAGTTCTTGGCACAAGAGCCAAACTCTGCCTCCTTGGTACCTGAGGCTCCGCCCCTCCCAGCCTCCCTGGTATATAAGGCCCCACCTTTTTAGTGTCCCAGGCAGATGAGACCCCCACCCCTTCCAACTTTTCAGGGAAGTGAAGCCCCATCCCTCTGACTCCTTTGGATGTGATGGATATCTAGTCTTTCCTAGTCTCCTGGGACATGAAGCCCCATTCAATCTCCCTGGGACATAGACCTCATTCCTTTCTAACTCCTTTGGATGTTAGGCCCCTCCACTCCCATCTCTATTTTTGACTCCTCAGTAGAATAGAGGCAAGATGGAGGAAACTGACTAGGAACCGTCCCAAACCACTGTCCTTGGTTACCTCTAGGGACAGGGGAGCTCACACCTTGCTCATTTAAAGGGATTAAAATATCTAGTTTTTGAGTAACCTGGGAGGATTCCTAGCCAAGTGTCTTCCAGGTAGTAGCCTCCAGTTTCCAGCTAATCTTGCCTCACCCTTCTGTAGACCCTGAATCTGGCCCTGTACTGGTGGTACCTCCTGGAGCTGGGTTTCTACATTTCACTTCTAATCACACTGCCCTTCGACATCAAACGCAAGGTGAGGATGAACCAGGAGTCCAGTTGGAGGAGTAGGCACCATGGGTGAGAAGCCTTCCAATCTCTGGTCAGGGAGTGGAATGGGATGGGCCCTCTTCAACACTGTAACTTGAGGTGCCCTGATAGCTCTGGTAGTTAATTATATTTCTGTTGCTGTGATAAAACACCATGACCAAGGCAACTTATAGAAGGAAGAGTTTATTTGGCTTATGGTTCCAGAGGGATGAGGGTCCATTATGGTGGGGTGGCCTGGCAGGAGGCAATTAGAGCAGAAAGCGGAGCACTCACATCTTCAAAGAAAGCAGAGAGAAACTGGAAATTGACAAGGCTTAAGAACTCTTAAAGCCCACCTCCAGTGATGTGCTTCCTCGGCAAGGCACACTTCCTAAAGATTCCATGACACTCCTCAAACAGTGCCATCAACTGGTGACCAAGTGTCCAAATACTTGTAGCCTGGGGGGTGGGGGACAGTCTCATTCAAACCACCACATCTGGGGTCTAGAGGCCTTATGGATCCCCTCAGAAGGGCCTGTTTCCAAGCATATGGGGTAGTGCCCTCTGGCTACAGAGGCTTGTCCTGCTGGTGACCTGTTGTCTTCCCCAGGATTTCAAGGAGCAGGTGGTACATCACTTTGTGACTATTGGGCTGATAGTCTTCTCCTACAGCACCAACCTACTGTACATTGGCAGTGTGGTATTGATGTTGCATGACTGCTCTGACTACCTGTTGGAGGTAGGTTTATAACTATACCTGCCCTGCCCTGCCCTGCCCTGCCCTGCCCTGCCCTGCCTTCCTCTGTGGCCCTGGAGAGAAGACTGGCCATGCTCCTCCTAGCTGCCTGGGTGATGAGGCCCTGCCTGCCATAATCTGATGGATTTCAAGGACCCTCCCACCCAAGCCTGCCTGGATGATGAGGCACCTCCTCTCCTTTGTGGAATGAGGCGCCAAGCCTCCTAGCTGCTGGGTAAAAAGGCCTTAGCCCTTGCAACCTCTCTGGAGTGTAAGGTCCCACCCATCTTCATCTCCCTGGCAAAAGAAGCCCTACCCCTCCCAACTTCTCTGAGACCTGAAGCCCTGCCCCTCTCTGTTTTTGGATGGAAGGCCTTTCCTAGTCCCTGGTCCTTGAAGCCCTGCCTCCCAGCCTCCCTGGACTGTGGACTGTGAGCCTCACTTATTCCTCTTGAGTCTCCCTGAGACATGAGGTCCTGCCTCTCCTGGTCTATCTGGGACAGGAAGTCCCTACCACTGTCTAACTCCTTTGGATATAGGACCTGGGGGGGCTGGTCCGGAGGGATAGGGGAGATAGGGCAGATGGAGGGGGATGGGGATAATACTCTTTCTGTCTGCCTTCTCTGTGTTGCTTTCTCATTCTTTGCTCTTTTCAGGCAGTTCTAGAGAAAAGGCCTCACCCCAGTTCACTCAGTCCCAACCCATAGCTCCTCGTCACTGAGCTGAGGATTCCCTTGGATGATCCATTACAGCCTGTTTCTCTCTGTTGCTCTCTCCAGGCCTGTAAGATGTTCAACTATGCAGGCTTTCGGCGAATGTGCAACGCTCTCTTCGTCATCTTCTCCTTAGTCTTCTTCTACACCCGCATCATATTCTTACCCACCCAGTGAGTCCTGGGGGTTAGGGAGATGGGAGGGTGGATCTGGGAGGGATCCAGGCCACCCTCACCCTTGGTGCCCTGCCTCAGGGAACTGGAAGCATTGGCTGAGGTTCTTCCAGGAGGCTTGGCCCAGAGCACAGTATATGCAAAAGCTCAGAGGTAACAGAAACAGAAAATGGGGCTCCATCCCTGCCAGGTGTTCTGTGGGAACAGAAAGTGAGCAGAGGAAGGCAATCAGGAGTACTGAATCACTAAAATTACCAAGTAAATATTTGTGGAGCCTCTAGAATGTGACAGGGTCTATTTGTTTCTTATCTGTTGCTGTAATAAACACCATGACCAAGACAATTTATAGAAGGAAGAGTTTATTTGGCTTATGGTTCCAGAGGGATGAGGGTCCATCATGGTGGGGAGGCCTGGCAGCCAGAACAGAAAGCTGAGTACTCACTTCTTCAAGCAGGAACAAGAAGCTGATAGAATGAAACTGGAAATGGGACGTGGCTATGAACTCTCAAAGCTCACCCATAGTGACATGCTTCCTCCAGCAAGACTGTACCTCCTAAGCCCCCATAAACAGTGCCACCAATTGGGGAGCAGTGTTCAAATACTTGGAGCCTGTGGGGGTCATTCATTTAAACCAACACACAGGGGCTGGGTACATAGCATGGAGAGCAGTGCAGGCGCCTGCCCTCCTGGAGCTGACTGATGTGGGAGGGACATGGGTGGAAGAGGCAAACAAGCAAAACACAAGGCATGATGGGGTGATAGGGCAGAAGGGAAAATAAAGTAGGGAACTGTGCAAGAAGCAGGCATGTGAGTAGTTGGCACTGGATGGGACATGCCACTGACAGCTATTGTATAGAGAGAAGGATTGGTGGCTTGAGAATCATACTGATCATAGATGAAGATGGTCCAGGCAGAGGGAACAGTGTGTGCAAAGGCCCCAGGCTAGAATGTCCTAAATGTTGGAAGGACAGAAATGAGCTCATGTGGTTGGAGCAGAGCTGGTGAAGCAGAGAGGAGAAGGTAGGTGCAGGTAGGTGACCAGGGCAGGTCATGAATGGCCTTATAGGATATAGAGAGGGTTGGAGGCTGATACCTGAAGGGAGGTGGGAGCCACAGAGGGCCAAGAGCAAATGTAGGAAGTTGAGGCAGGTGGACCAGGTCAGGTGAGAGAACCACAGGAGCTCAAGAAGATGCCTCCAGGGCCAGGGGAAGCATCAGGAGGCAGCAGGAGCCCAGCTACTTTGTGCTGGCTTGGAGGGGCCTATGGCGTTTTCATAGAGGAGCAGTAACATGTCAAGCTGAGCTTGCAGGAGAGATGAATGTAGGAGTTGCCAGCCCATGGTGGGTGTTTGCAGTTGGGAGGCAGAACTGTTGTCTGGGGGCAAACTGTGGACACAAACTGTGTCCTGGGGCTCCCTGTTTGTAGGTGACTAATGGAGTGGGAGGACAAGATGGGGAGACTGGGGTTAGGGGAGAGCTCAATAATAGAGAGCTTGCCTAGCATCTGATATGTGCTGGGCTACACTAGAGAAAGAGAGAGTGAGATCAAAGTGGGGATGGGGAGGAAGGGAAGAGGAGGAAGGAAAGAAAGAGGGAAGGAGCAGGAAGGTGTATTGGTTACTTTTCTGTTGCTGTGATAAAACACCATGGCCAAGGCCAGTTATAGAAGGAAGAGTTTATTTGGCTTATGGTTCCAGAGGGATCCATCAGGGTTGGGGGAGGCATGGCAGGAGGTAGCAGGAGCAGAAAGCTGAGAGCTCACATCTTCAAACACATGCAGGAAGTAGATACAGCTGGAGATAGGGCAAATCTACGAACTCTCCAAGCCCCCCCCCCCCCCCG